AATTCAAGTTTTACTACAGTAAACTGCGGTTTGTATTAATATAATATACCCTATATTTGTAGAACATTACAGCATTGGGTCGTTTGTTCATTATTATTGTTGTTGTGGTGCCATAATGTTGCCATGCCGACTATAGAATCACCACAACCGATTTATTTAAGTTTTTACTACAGTAAACTGCGGTGTGTTGTAGTATAATATACCCTGTAGTTGTAAAACATTAAAGTGTTGGGTCGTTTGTTTGTAGCTATAGTTTTTGTGTTGCCATAGCAACTATAGAATAATCACAGCTGATCAATTCAAGTTTTTACTACAGTAAATAATGGCGTATTGTAATATAATAAAATTTGTTTGTTGCTGTAGTTGTTGTGCTCCCAAAACAACTATAGAATCACCACAGCTGTTTAATTGGTTTTTACTCTAGTAAACTGTGGTGTGTTGTAGTGTAATATACACTATAGTTGTAGAAAACTACAGCATTGGGTCGTTTGTTCATTACTATACTTATACTGCCATAGCAACTGTAGAATTATCACAACTGGTTAATTCAAGTTTTTACTATAGTAAACTGTGTTGTGTCGTAGTATATAATATACTCTACAGATCATTTGTTCATCACTATAGTTGTTGTGTTGCCATAGCAACTATTGAATCAACACAAATTAATAATTTAAGTACTTCACTACAGTAAACTGCAGTGTGTTGTAGGATAATATACCCTGTAGTTGTAGAATGCTACAGTATTGGGTCGTTTGTTTGTTACAATGGTTGTTGTGTAGCCATAGCAACTTTAGAATCACCACAACTGATTAATTCAAGTTGTTACTATAGTAAACTGCAGTGTGTTGTGTATAATATACCCTATAGTTGTAGAAAACTACAGTGTTGGGTCGTTTGTTCACCACTACAGTTGTTGTGATGCAACAATACTCAACTTAACTTAACTGATTAATTCAAGTACAATAGTTTGACAAAACCCAGTAATATTTACCATAAATTACTGTAGTATTTTTTATTCATGTGGTTTGTAAGTACCGTTCAACTGCCGAAAGTTTGATTCGCTCGCCAAATCTGAATTTTACCCACAATTGGAGTTGGCGAGTGTGAAGATTGGCATGTAGAACAGGAAAGATGTGAGGTTGAACGTCATCATTCTCAGCATACAGCAAACCCCAGGGAGCTTCGCACGGGTTTGGAAACATCCCAGCGGCAGGACAATGCTGAGCTTGATCACTTTATGTGTGTGTGTGTGTGTGTGTGTGTGTGTGTGTGTAGCTGGATGTGTTTGGCTTAGTGTGGAGTATTCGCTGTCCTGCTGTTTCCAGGCATGTGACCCCTCGGCCCCGCGCTTGATTTATTCATTGGAAATCATTTAATCTGATGGGCGACATTTTGTCAAAACACTGTCTCATTAACTGCGGTCCGCGCACTTTGTTTTGCGTTCGACCTATTGTACCGCAGCAGAATAAACACACATAGAGCGGAGCTTGAATGTGCGCTTTGTTTGAAGGTGTGCTGCTGTGGCCAAAAGACGATTAGCGATGTCTTGCTTTACTCATGCAGACGCTCCGCTCCAGTGCATGGAGAGCTGCAGAGGGTCACGTTAGTCCAACTGTGGGCTGGTCAGTGCATCTTTCACAGGGAATGATCTAAGAGAGGAATCATACATTTATCAAGCATTGAAGAGGTTTTCCTTTCCAATGCGCTTTTTTCCCTATTGTTTCTCAGTCTTTATATGCACTTGATGGACATGTCTTTTAAAGTGCTGTGTGTTTTTTTAAGTGTAAAGTTTAAAGAACTTCAACTTTAAAGGTTCCATGAAATTAAAATATCAGTATGTTAGTTTTGAGGATATATATAAGTCAGTGTGCTTACCTATATACCTATAAACCTTATATAGACCCAATATATTTTCACAGTTTCTCATCAAATCTTTTGACCAATGAAATGCTCTCTAGTATCTGACATGCCCCGCCCCCTACAAAACAAAAGCTTCTCATTTTTTTGTGTTCATTTCATGCGCTTAAGCTCAACCACTCGCATTGCAAGAGCTGTGATAAAAACAAAACGCTATTGGCTGTTTTTAAAAAAGGGGCGGAGCTACTCTATGTTATGCCTGTCTTCATTATAAGTTAAGTTTACGTCCAACATCAAATAAAAAAAATTTACATTTTAAAAGCACTTCACAAAACCTTTAACATGCAGTGCTGCTCATTACTGTTAGTTCCAAAGCAGTTGACCAATCAAGAACTTGGATGTGGGAAAAATGTTGCCAGTTTCTGTATACAATCGCTCAGTGATTGGTCAGTGTCCAGATACCGTCATGTTTTGTTGTGCTTTCTTTTTCTCAGATAATTTTGAAGCATTGCGTCTCACATTTTTAGGAGCAAATGTGCGCTGATGATTATTAGGCAGCTTCTATTCTGCTTTTTTAAAACAGGCCAAAAGTATTTACTGTATTTTAAAGGTTTTATTGACTAAAAAGTCAATAATTGAACTGTGAGCTGGTCTGCATGCTCTAGTCAGTGTATTGTCTTTTACAGGGAATGATCTGTGAGAGGAATCATGGCGTTTGACAAGCTGGTCGACTGTGGTTTCACTGGCATTATATAGATCGTCCCAGTGGTGCTGCTTGGTTTTGGGTTAGAGGCTGTTTCTAGGCAGTTTCGTTGGTATTTTCTTATTGTGGATTGTTGTTTTGTGCGAAAAAGCTTTTGCCGGAAGCCTCAGTTTGGCTGCTTTCGAGTGAATATTGTGACTTGAAGTTGGGTAGAATGGACTGGATAAATCTCAGACCCACAGAGTTCAACCTGATGAACTGATTTTTTTTTTTTTATGAAATATTTTCTTTCCCTCAAACCGCTAATGCGCTCATTGAAAATTCAGATTGGCATTGTGGATTTGAAAGAAGTTCAGTTGTAGATGTCAGTGAGAAGCACATGTAGGCTGTGATATTAGCCTTAAGGCAAGAACAAACCATTGTTTTCTTTAGTCTTACATTAGTCAGTTTTGAGATTTTGGCCTCCATTCTTGTCTTCTTCATGACTAGTGAAAAAATAAAGCATACAACATGTTTGTTTTATTAATCTCAACCCTTTTTTGTGTAGATTTTAGTCTGTATCTTAAAAAGCTGCATTCAGTCAGAAATCTGCAGTGCTTATGGATGAAATATGACAATGAATATTTCCTTAATGAATATTCCTTAATAACAAAAATTGTGACTATCCTACATTTTTATTAGGATTTCCTGACAAAATGTAATCAGTGACTGTAGCAACAGATTTTACAGGAAAAATTAACAACATATTAAAAGACCCTGGACCACAAAACTAGTCAAAGGTGTAGGATTTTAGTGAAAAATTATATTTATATATATATGCATGTGTGTGTGTGTGTATGTATATATATATATATATATATATATATATATATATATATATATATATGAACAATATCACACTCGTAGCAGTGCCATATGGCTGTATATCGGCACTGGTGGGAGGCGTGCCTTAGTGCCCCCACCAGTGCCGATATACAGCATTATCGCACTGCTACGAGTTTATACAACAGTTTGATGGCATAATTGTGTATATAAAAACAAAATCAAACATGGAGAGTTTCAAAAACCCTTTTGTATGAGGAACTACTTTCTTCCACATTGGATGCAAATCATAAGCTGACAGTTAAACAGCTGAGCAAGCATCTTTTAAACTTTAAATCTGTAGTGTTTGCTTTTTGCTAGTTGTATATGGGCGGAGTAATACACAAATGGTAAAGAGGCTGTAGGAGTTCTGATATTGCAGAATATAGCGCACGGCTATCAGCCAATCAGATTTAAGAACCATACAGAACAGTATATATATAAATATAATTTATTTATAATTTTTTACAAATTTTTCCTGTTTAGTTTTGCTTTGGTTTTTATGTTTGTCTTGGAATGCCGTGTTCAGACTGTATTATTTTAGCCCTGATTTTGACTCACCGACAGGTTTTGAGAAATCGCCGGTAAATGCCTTAAAACCACAGGCAAATGGGCACTCATTCATGTAACAATCACACAGCGTGAACTCTCAAAGATCTGAGAGAATCCCCTATGAGTTGCTGACACCAGTAAGATTTTTGGCATGCTAAATATCTGGAGCTGTCGATGATTCAAAAAAATGATGCCGTGTGAAATGTGTTCTGATTGAAAATAACATCAGTGATGACCTACAGCCATTGAGAGAGCAGTATCTGCAGGCCAGTGGGAGATTGGGAAGAAGTTAAAAGGGCTTCTTTTTCCTCCAAGAAATGGAGGAAAAACTAGTGTAAATTTGGCAGGATTTTATTATTATTATTATTATTATTATTATTATTATTATTGTTGTTATTATTATTGTTGTTATTATGTAATTGCATAGGGCTGCTCAAAGGTTAGCACTGTCGCCTCAAAGCAAGACGGTCGCTGGTTCAAATGCCTGATGGGTCAGTTGGCATTTCTGTGTGGAGTTTGCAAGTTCTCCGTATGTTTGCATTGGTTTCCTCCGGGTGCTCCAGTTTCCCTCACAGTTCAGATAAAAAATAATAAACTATATTGTCCGTGGTGTATGAGTGTGTGCATGAATGTGTTTGTGTGTTTCCCAGTACTGGGTGGTGGATGCAAGGGCATGCACTGTCTAAAACATGCTGTAATAGTTGGTGGCTTATTCTGCTGAGGCGACCCCTGACAAATAAGGGTCTTAGGAGGATGAATGAATGTAATGTCTGGTTTTTGTTTAGTTAAACATCATTTTCAAACCAATTTATAGCTGTATTTACTAAACCACGTACTGTACCCATAAAAGTTGTAGATTAATATTCTGTAAAATGGGCATTCCTTCATGAACATTAGATGCAGATCTGCCTGAATTACTGCAGTTATAAATGCTATTAGATCTAACTTTGTTGTCATTTTGCTTCATGGTCTCCACAGTTTATCTGGCAGTCTCTTCTGTGTTCTTATTGCATCTTTATGTTTTCAGGGTTTCAAGACCAAAGATGGATATCTGGTTGTGGCAGCAGGAAACGACCAGCAATTTGTGAAAGTGTGCAAAGTAAGCGGAGAGCTTTTATTATAGAGCCCATATTAATAAATCTAAGCCTGCTTTATTTGTACATTAGAGTCACAGTCATATTTTAAAGCCAAATGCATTTATTTTGACTGATGGGAAATGGCTTTGCAATGGATCTGTCATTAAATATGTCTGTTTTTCCAAGGTTGTAAGCAGGAATGATTTGGCCGAAAACCCAAAGTACAAAAGCAACATGTTAAGAGTGAAGCACCGCAGAGAACTGCTGCAGATCCTGAGCAAGAGGTGAGGAGAGCATGCTCACAAACACACACACACACACACACACACACACACACACACACACACACACACACACTTACACACACACACGCTGTAAAGCTCTGTGGAAATGACAGCTTTGTTATTATTCATCAGAATTTAATAACTTGCTGTAGATTTCAAATAATTGATGGTTGTTGGTTAAACGGTCAAATAAGTGGTCCAAAAAAAGCAACCTTGTTTACAATGTGCAGTTAAATAATTAATCATAAGTTGTTAAAAGTACTGTATATATTTCCAGCATTTGATTCAGGCCTCTGTGGTCCTCAGGTTCATTGAAGAAACGACTGGGGAATGGCTGCTGCGTTTCGAGGGCTCCGGCGTTCCCTGCGGTCCCATCAACAACATCCAGCAGGTGTTCGAAAACCCTCAGGTCAGTCTGATGCTTTATTAGATCCTTTATTAGCCGATATAATGCTGTGGTTTTTGATGCAGGAGACAGGATTTAGGTCTTTTTCTGATTTTGAACACGTCTGAAGTGTATTTTTGAAGCACAACTGTTTTGTTTTATTGATATTTATCCAATCTAATCATAAGTTGTTTAAATTATAAAAAAATGCATAATAAATAGCAAAAAAAAATTATATTTAATATTTTTAGTTTTTTTATTAGTTTTTTTCAACCAAACATATTTTGTATTTTATATTTTTAATAATAATAATAATAATAATAATTATTATTATTATTATTAATAGTTATTATTAACAATAATTTTGTAAAACTTGTGTGTGTACAAATTGTACACACAAATTTACCAAAGCGTTACATAAATAAATAAACAAATAAATAAATAAATATGTGTTTTAAATTATAATAATTTATTTATTTAAATTTAAAATGGTCACAAAAACCAAACTAAAAAGTTCAACAAACTGTACACACACACACACACACACACACACACACACACACACACATGGGCGCACATACAATATTAATAAAAAGTTGCATAAAACAGTAAAAAAATAATAATTTAAAAATAATAATAATAAATATATGTGAGTTTTAATTTATTTACATTTAAAATGGTCACAAACATGCAACAAAAAAATTCAACAAACTGCCCACACTCAAAATTTTAATGAAATCTTACTTAAAAAATAATTAAATAAATAAATAATGATAATTAGAGAGTAAAAAATACAGATACATGATGAAAAGGGAGGTTCTAAGCTGAAATGTTTTTTTTCGTCTATGAAACATTTTTTCACACTTGCAGACACTTGGTGGAATTAGAAAAGTTCTGTTGTCAAGCTATTATCAAGACACAATCTACAGTAGCTTAACTAATACTGTTTCACTTAAACTACACAGTTACTCATTTAAATAATAAGTATAATACACTGCATAATAGGAGGACCTCCTGACAGACCGTAAACAGTTGTGAAAAACAATCGTCCACTATTATTATCAAGACAAAAGTGATCAGCGAAACCCGCTCAGTTTAAAACAAGCATCAGGAGCATTTCTTTGATCCACATCAGTAGCTAATAAAGTCAGAAGTGAAACACTATCGTATGTACAGGCCCCAGAGCAAGGAATTTAACACTGCTGGAATTTGAACCCCATTTTGTACACCAGAGATGCAGAAGTTTCCAACACACACACACACACACACACACACACACACTGATGTTTAATTCTTCCCACATGTTGGTACTGAGAGAGCATACACACTTCACCATCCCCTCAGTAGTCTCTGCCACATCCTATAATCACAATTAGCAGCTGTTGTTTTTTGTTTCTGTTCATTTTAAGCGATCAATATTTATTTTATTTCCACTGTGGTTTGCTATTTTTAGCCTTTCACTACCATTTTTACTCAAAGAATGTGAAAAAATATTAGTCATTTGTAGTTGCAGAATTGGCATTTCGACGTTTGGCAGTCAATATGGCTGAGAATGACACCAGAACATGCAGTGTGTTCAGTATGTGGAGTACATATAAAAACATACATAATACTTTAGAGAGAGTGAGAGAGAATTTTATTTTATTTCCTTTTATTTTATTTCTTTTGACTTTGTTTATTTGTTAGATGCTTTTTGTTATGTATTTATTGATATATTTAATTATTTATTTGTTTTTTTGGCTTACATTTAGTCATTTAGCAGACGCTTGTTTAGTTTTTTGCCTTTGTTTTATTATAAGTTTTATTTGTTTAGCTTTGTGTTTTTTTTTTCTAGAATTTTTCATTAATTTATTGTTTTGTATTTGTTCTGTTTGTTTTGGTTAATAAGTTTTTGCATAATTTGTGTTTTGGCAGTCAATAAGGCTGAGAAAAAAAAGAGAACATGCATGCTATGTGTTCAGGGTGCAATGTAAATAAAAGAACATACATATTCCTGTAGAGAGAGAGAATTTTAAATGTTTAATAATTAATTTGTTTTTTTGTTTATTTTGTTTATTGATTGATTTGTTTGTTTGTTCTGTATTTATTTTTAAATTTTTTGTATTGTTTTTAATTTGATTAAGTTTTGGTAGTTTTATGTTTTATTAATATTATTATTTGTTCTGTATGCAACATATATAAAAGAACATATATTTCTTTAGAGAGAAATCATTTTATTTATTTGTTTATTAGTTTTTTGTTTATGTTTTGTCAGATGTTTTCTGTTTTGTATTTATTTAATTTTGTTAGTGTTTTTTTGTATTTGTTTTAATTTAGGTTTTGTTTGTTTTGTTTCTTATATTTAGTATTGTTGTAATTTTTTTTATTTGTTTGTTTGTTTGTTTATTTGTGTATTTATTGTTTTGTTTTACTTTTGTTCTGTTCGTTTTGTATGTTTTTGAATAATTGGCATTTTGACGTCTTGGCAGTGAGTAAGCCTGAGAACCACACTGTTTTCACAATGTATTCACAATGTATATCATGGTGCAAAGTATATAAAAAAACATACATATTTCTTTGGAGAGAGAGAAAAAAATAAGAATCTATATTTATTATCTTTAATTATCATTAGTAGCGCAAGACAGAATCTGCAGACTTTTTTGCTATTTCTGTAAAGAATTTTGTAAACCTGAAGATTTATGCAGAATGATTTTAGGAGCATCATAACTAAAACATAAAGTATGAAATAAATAAATAAAATAAAACAATGATAACTTTTTTAACTTTTATTTAAGGTTTACTGTACATTGCAAATCCATTCCACATTGCAAAGTCTCTCATAATATACCTTCTAAAAAACAGAAATATTACTTTACAAACTGTATCATAAATAAATCATAGCCCTTACATTTAATTATTCATTTAAATATGGTTTAATTTCACTTTATAAATGCTTAATGCAGTAGACTGATATCTTTATTGTCACTGTTCTTATAACAGTCAGTTTCATGCACACAGGTTATAAGTGATCAGAGAGTGTGTATTATGAGTAATTGCCTCATCATTGTGCCACAGCTCTACTCTCTAAAGTCTTTCTTTGACATGTAGGTCAACCTGACCTCATTTGCAGTTATTGCACATTTTATGTTGTCGTTCATTGTCAGGGAACTTCTCTGCCATTTTGCAGATGCCTGTAGAGCTTGTGCCTTGGAGTCATTTTAACTCCTGGAGTCGTTTGAACTCATTTGAACTCATTGTAAACTTTCACTTTTCTCCTTGTTAGAGATTTTTAAAGTAAACGTGTGTAAGTTTAATAATAAAAAAAAAATTACTTTTTCAAACAAATCCAGGTCACATTTAGATTTATTTATGGGTTTGACATGCCGATCAGTAGCATTAAGGACTTGTCCTCTTTGATGATCCTGTAAGCATGGGTCAGTTTAAGCTACTCTGCTTTTACGATAGCTTAGTGGTCAACAAACACACTACAATCTCAGCAAATACTTGCTTCACAGACATTAGAAATTGATCCACAAAAGGCTTGAAATCTGTACTTTTAAATGAACCAAGTGCACTTGAAGTTGAACTTAAAGTTATTTGGTTTTGTAATATGTATAAAATGAACATGGAGTACTGTCTGTCCTGTCAAACACACATCACATGACAGCAGAAACTACTCAAACGCCTACAAACTTGTAAACGAAGAGTCGCTGTCGTTTATAGAGAAGATTCACCATCGAGACAAAGTTGTGGATTACTTTAGAAGAGCAGCACATGAGACAGGCATTCTCCAGAGGATGATCATGTGTAGAACGGCCATAAATGAAGGTGGTGTTGCGATCTTGTTCCTTTCGAGTGCACATGTGCATTAGCTTGGTCAACCTAAAGATATGCTGATTTTGTTTCATTTTAACGTTTAGAAACAAAACTTAAGAGACGGTTGTTGTTTAATTTTATTGGTGGTTCCAGATATGTAATTTAATCATAAGCTTGGCAAACAGTTTTGGAGAATTTGCTGTTTCCCCACTCAGACAGAATGCATTTCAAAGATGGCCGCTAAGTGAAAGGGCTTGCCTCAAAGAGACTTTGGTAATGGTCCAAATTCAAAACATTTAAAGGGTTTTTTTTATTCAACTGATCCCTTTTCTGACGACTTGACACACACAAGTTGGCAGATAAATGAGATTGAAATTCAAGACTTTAGCTAATTAAAACCCCCTTATGGCTATTTTTCCTTTTTTCGTTTATTCATGACAATCTGCATTAGTATAATGATATTTTTATTAGCAGTATTATTTATTATCTGCATATTTATGTTTGTTTAAAAACAAGTTTAGATTTGTCCACCTGTGGGTTTTGGAGACGTCTGCATCATCATATGGTGCATAAGAACAGGACGTGTGTTTGGTTATTTTTGATCTCACTTCGTTAATATTGTTCATTTAATCCTTTGCTGAAAATTGGAACTGAATTTAGAAATAGTTTTGAAACAAATCTCCGCACTTAACAAACAGAATTAAATATGCAAATATGTAAAATATGCTAATGGATGTCTTCAGTGGAGTGAGTTTCCATTGTTTCCTTACTCCATCAATGTAAAGGTGTAAAGAGCAAGATTAAAGTAAAGAGGCAGAATGGAGGAGGCTCATTCTTTATCCTCGCACTGCAGATGCACTGTTTTCTCACTAGTGAATCGTTCAGTTTTTCCTTTTACAAAATTTGCCATGTAAACAGCAAATGTGGCATGGCGCAACTCAACTGACTCTTAAAGGGAATGGGAGATGAGACTCTGATTGGTTTAATGCACGTTATGCTCAAAACAGATATTTTTCATCCTTAAAACAGCAGAAGTGGATTTGGACACATCCATAATGTTAGGCCTTGCTCCATAAGCTTAAGACTTATTGCCTATATGGTTAAAATAGAGCCTGAAATATGCAGTGTTTTCTGAATGGACATGTTATAGAGACCAAAACAAAGACAGACATTCCAACACGGATGCATCTCTACTTAACATGTTTCTTTAACGTCTGCTATCATATAAT